GGGGTTCCCAGATGATGATGGTAGCCGGGGGTCCAGAGGGCAGGAGAAAAGCAGGACAGAGCCCCCAGCACGATCAGACAGGAGATGAAGAAGTCCTTAGTGAACTGATGCAGTTTAAATCCAGGTATCAGAACAGTTTTTCTTGGGGCAAGGATAGGAGTTTTTATAGGGATAAGACAATAGTTCAAAGAGAGAGACAACAGAGACTGATCACCCCTGGTTAGGAGTGTGAACTGCTCCCCAGTAACCCGGGGAGGAAAAAGGGGAGTTACACTTATATGCCCCCAGGTTCAGCACTCCCTAATCCCCACTTTCACACCACAATCATTCACTGGTAAACCGCACGATGAGCAAACCCCACAGGATTTTGGGCACTACAGGGATCTGTAGCTTGGGTACAAGAAGCGTTGTTGCAGAGCGAATGGGGAAGCCAAAACAACACCCCTTGAGGAAGAGTGAGAGAAAGAAAGAGAGAGAAGCAACCAGCTTAACAATGAAAGTTGTTTTTATATATATATGTGTCTTCCCTGGTCTTTTCCTTGCTTTGTCTGATTTTAGCAGAGGCCTAGGGGAACCGGGGGATGGTTTTCCATGAATGTCACTCCCTGGCTCCCCAAGAGCACAGGGCTGGTAGGTAACACTGTGGGAGTTAAGCATCCCATTCCATCCTGTTCATAATCTGTTTTTTCATACTGGATTTTCGATCTCTCAACTATATCACTTTCTGAGAAGCTGAACAGATCATTGGAGCTCTTTTATAATAGCAGAACCACAACTACTACCATAGCAGCTGGCTGTGTAGCTGCGATATTGAGATGGCTAAGGAGTAGATGATACAAACAGTGAAACTGGCAAGCTGTTGCAGGTCCAGATTGGACCTTTCTGGTCCAGCACCCTCGACCATGTGACCAGTTCCAAATGAGGGTATTTGCTGGACCAAGGGAGGTCCCCTGCCACTGGCCTCCCAACCCACCACCAGCTCTCTGGTGCAGGAACATTTGAGGTCTTGCTGGATCACACATGTTGCTGGACCAGAGTTCTGATTTAGGGAGAAACAATCTGAATTACAGGCAGTCCCCGACTTACGCGGATCCGACTTATGTTGGATCCGCAGTTACGAACGGGGCTGCCCCGGAATACACGGGCGGCGGGACCTTGTGGTCCC